AGGGGAGTGCAAGTCACATGCTTCGACCACTAGTTCTTACTTCGACTCTGGCGGTTCTGAGCATCTGTAGGGGGCCGAGGCTGTTAATCTTCCTAAGAAGACCAGTTGGTGAGCCCTCGAGTTTTCCCCGCAATCTCACCCTGGGTGAGGAAGGACTCTCCTTTGAAGGCGGTGATGGTTTGAGGAACCGACCACAGACTTAATCACTGCTCCTTGCTCGTGTGAGCTATTGCGAATGAGGAGCTTGAGCGATACTGGATCTGATTATAACCCTTAGGGTTCTGTTTGCGATCTAACCCCAGGCTTCTTGGCTGTCCAGGCGGTGGGGTTTTTATCTGTGGCGGCGATAAGAAGCATGTGCTTCATCCTCAAGCTAGACAAACACCATAGTGGTGTGTCTTTTCTAGGAGGGCTTTCGGGGTTCTACTTGGTAAATACTCCCCAAAAAGCTATTGGAGCCCTTGAGGGCTACACCTATGTTGGCTCCTCATAGCCATAGGCTAATCCTCTTTGTAGGCATCGAAAATTGCCTATAGGTCTCCACGAACGGTTCAGTGTTAAAGAACGACGATGAACGTCACTATCCGATCCACATGAGTCTAATTGACGTCGACGAACGACTGAAGTGAGTCGGCGAGCTACGTGAGCGGATAGGGTTTCGGAACAACCAAGACCCGGACCAATCGGGAACCCGGCACTGTTCACAAAAAGGACAACGCCCCTTGTGCCTCGACCACTCTACAGATAATCCAATCACCAGAGCGGATCGAATTCTTCGTCAAGCATCCAACGCACCCGGAATCACTCAAATCCGAATCCGGACGAAGAATCTACAGGGAAACCAACAAAACACCTCATAGTGAGTCCCGGCGTGTCGAAATACCCCGGGGGTGTCTAGGAAAAGCCTAGACACCCCAGGGGTGTCTCGGCCAGGCCGAGAGTCTTGGAGCAAGGCTAGAGAGAGAGGGGGAGGATTTTGGAGAGCCTTGGCGAAGCCCTGCTGCAGTGAAGAGTGCCCGTGAGCTTCAACAAGAGGAAGAGAGGCCTTGATCAGAGCCTTCATCGCCCGTCAGATCCTTAGTATTAGCCTTTAGCGTTAATACTAAGAAGAGCTATTACCTCGTTTTAGCCGAGGTATACGCTTATAGCTTCTAGATCTCACGCGGATCGACGAAGCTCTGTCCGATATTTCTGGATCAGAAGTTTCTAGATCTCACGCGGATCGACGAAACTCTATCCGATTTATCCGGACCAGATCTGAGTGCCCCGGTGGTCCACGGATATCAACGTCCCCGTCACAGGCAAAAGACCCACGCAAGCAAGAGATGACAAACAACTCTTGCGTTTGTTTGAAAGGAGTTGCATTTCTTTTGTTTTCATTGTGTACCGGTTTTATAAAAAGGCTATCTTTTTATTTCATTGTAACGATCAAAGTTGTAATGAATGCAGCAATGAATACAGCGACTTTTTCCGCAAACACTCTTTAGCTTGGATGATGCAATTACAGGCTTTGTTTAGCTTGAATGACGCAATTCCAGTGTTTTTTTAAGAATGGACAGGATCAGACCCCTGTTTAGAGTTGGGCATTTCTTCTCAGAGAAGAAAGTGGGCCCCACGGTGGGTGCCAAACTGTTGATGTCCGTGAACACATAGTTGATGAGGTTGCGGTTCTGGTCTCCGCGCTGGCGGCGAAGAGGGAGAGGATGAGAGATGGGGCTGTCTCCTCCTCCGACTTTATGTCGATCCTTAGACTGGAATTCCTGATCCTTCTGCACAAACAAGAAGAAGCCCGTAGGAGGGTGGGGCTTATTTCCCCCGTGGTACCTCCGACGGTCAAGTCCGCTGGTGATCTTGAGTGGGGTTTGAGGGAGAGTCCCTGGGCCATTGAGGTCCTTTTTAGCAAAGATAAATTTAGAGTTTTTATGAAGAAGTAGCAGAAAAGAATCCTCCCTTCTTTTACCTTCTTTCCCTCCTTTTATAGCCTCTTGTCTCTGAGAGTTTGACTCTTGACTTTGACTATGCACAGGAGGCGGTTGAGGGGTGAGCAGACAGGTTGCTGAGTCAACCTTCTCCCTCCAAATGTCGGCTGACGATTGGAAGAGAAGTCATTCGAGTACAGAAGAGAAATGTCTTCTCAGTACCCTAGATTTGTCAGATGATGCAGGACGGAGAATAGGCCAGCTATTGGGTTGTCCTTCCCCTTCCAGATGGCGGCTGGTGGCTTGGATGGAAGCCGATTCAGTCTAGGCGAGAGCATCAGGGCGATCTCTGGGAAGTGCACTTGTGGGGAGAATATACGGCTTATGTGACGGATTTTTGTCGAGACGGAGATCTTGATGGACTGGATCAAGTGCTGTATGTTCGATTGAAATCTGAAGTGAGTTAAGCTGGACTTATCCCCTTAAGTAGAGGTCGGGTTGATCCGTGAGTCGGTCGCTTTATGGTTTGCCGACCCGTTAGCGCCGACGAGCTTCGCGGTCGAGTGCATTGGTCGAGACGACTGTTCGAGGAGTCGTCTTAATTACGAGGGACCGACTGATCCCGCACTTCGAGTCGGTAATGATGACCCTTGGTCAAAAGATGACTTGTCAGCTCGGCTGGCCGATAGACTTGCCCTTGGCTGGGCTTTTGGGCCTCTAAGCTGGTTTGGACCATGGCCTCTTCAATCACGCTTTTGATATCTTCATATTTAGATGGTAAATTACCATAACGATAACTTTTTTATATAAATTAAGCTAAGTTTTTATAATATTTTATATAAATTAAGCTAAGTTTCGATAATATTTTATATTAAGTATTATTTTGTTTAATATTATTTCAGTAGTTGTTATTCTAGAAAAGATTTAATTCGATGATTAATATAAATTGTTATTGCAAATAAGATTTATAAACTAGTCAGTACTTCAGTATCTATTCATGTATGTTAACGTACAAACATCAAGGTTTTAAAAGATACTGAACTTTTTGTTTCTGTTTTTGGATGCATCAATTGTGAATAATGTTTTTGAACATTAAACTGTCTTATATCTTAATTACATTAAAGTTGCATTTAGATTGATTTTGGTTTATTCATTTCATATGAAAAAAATAGTTTAAATAAAGTTAATTTTAATTATTTGATTATATGGTTTGTTAATTATCTTGATTTTCAGGCATGTACATAATTTCTAATCTCAATCAGAGGGGTTCACGTGCTTCAGAAGGGGAGGCGAGTCAGTAAATTTTTTAAACTCTAATGGGATATGAGTGATTGAAATATAATGAAATGTAGGTGAATTGTGATAAGGCCATACTTAGCTTGGACTAAAAGACTAGTAAAGAGAAATGAACAATTTTTCACTTTAGCCCTTTTAAAATTTTTTATTATTAAAATCAACCCTTTTTTCTTTTATTTACCAAAACCGACCCGATTTCTTGATTAGCATGGAAATGGCTATGCAAGAAATGAGACAAATGCACGATCAACGAATCCGAGCTTTGTCAAACCAGCTAATTGAGTCCAGCCATCGCACCCAGAACGCCGCAGTTGATAGCAATCCAAAGGTGGACGAAATCATCATGGCCGACGCACCACCCAAGAATACTGGGGGTGGCCCCACTAAAAATAACAACCCCGACTAATTAGGAATGTGATTAAGCCGCTAATCAAGAAATCGGGTCTGTTTTGGTAAATAAAAGAAAAAAAGATCGATTTTAATAATAAAAAATTTAAATAGGGCTAAAGTGAAAAATTATTCAAAGAGAAATTGGTGAACTATCCTAAATGCACTAAAATGTGACATGTGTACAAAAAATACCATGTGTCAACTCCCTAAATAAAAAAGTGACATGTATCCTTCTATCCTATTAGAAGATGGCATGCATACATTTAATTCTATCTCCACCTAAAATCCTTATCAAATTAAAAAAAATATTTATATGCTTAATTAGAAAATTCTAATAATCAAATATTTTATAATTCTAATCAAATTATAACTACCTATAGTTAAAAATCCAATAATCAAATTAAAATCGTCATTAAATCAAAACTATTCATCTTCATAATTAGAAAATTTTGATAATCGAGTTTGGTATTTCTAATCAAATTGTAACTGTTAACTTTACAAAATAGGGTAAATTTCACAAAGGACCTCCTTAATTTTACGTGTTTCTTGGATAGTCCCTGTTAACTTTTTTTTTATATCACCAAACCTCTCTTAATTTTGAGTTTTTTCCCCTGATAAACCTCACAGCTTCTTATATTTCACTCAATCCCTTGAAGATTTTTAACATCACAAGTCATCAGGTAGTTCAATAATAGAGAGGTGCTTGTGTTGGTTTAATAAGTAATATTATTTAAGTTGTGTATGATCATTAGTACAAAATAGATTTTCCAAATAGGTCTCGTAATCATTTGGGCAAATTTCGTAAGTCTAAACGGTTTAAACCATTTGGGCTGCAATTAGTCTCAACGTTTACATCATTTGGGTTCACCAAAATAAAAAAACAGATAAATTTTTGGCCCATACGGTTGGACCAAATGGTATAACCATTTGGGCGTTTTTTAACAATTTTTAAAAAAATCCAATTATTTCCCATATTAAAGAAATTTTCTAAATAAACCCATTCATATTTTTTTTTCTAAAAATAGACATCCTTAAGTTTTATTTACAAAAATAGACTTATTTTATCTTAATCCGGTTCCTAAATAGTCGGGGTTGACAATCCGACTATTTAGGAGGTTATAAATCCCTAATTATAACTCTAAACCCTAACATTCTATGCACTAAATAGTCAGGATTGGTAATCCGACTATTTAGAAATCGGATTAAGACAAAATGAGTCGATTTTTATAAAAAAACTCAAGAGAGTTTATTAAAAAATAAAATAAAATATGAATGAGTTTGTTTAGAAAATTTCTCTTTCCCGCATTCGGTTAGCCCGTCGATCTCTTACTCCCAAATATTCAGAAACCCAAAATTTTCCGCCCGCCCTCAATCTGCTCCCTCCTCGTCCTCCGCCTACCTCCCCTTCTTCCTTCACCGCGGCTCTGACAACCGCCACCTCCTCTTTAATTCCATCGACCATCTCATCTTCCTCAACTTCACCGTCTTCTCCTCAACCTGTAAGTACTCTCCTCTCTCTCCTCAAAACCCTAACCCCTAATTTGACCATCTAACCCTAGATTTTCTCCTCAAACAGCAAATTCGCCTGCGTTGCATCCACCACCGTTGCATCCAGCCCCCCTCCTCCAGTGGCAACACTTGGGTAATTTCTAATTTTTCATTAATTTCGTGGTTATTTCCTGGAATTATCAAGGAATGGTTATGTTCTGTCTGTTTGTGTGTGTGTGTGTGTGTGTTTGTTGTTGTTTGATGCTATTATCGTATTTGAATGAAGTTTTAGTATGGTTTCATTCATGTGTGAAATTGAAGAGTGGAATATTGTGGAATGCAGATAGTTTTCCTTTCTATTCGACAAAATTATTTACATGTTGATGTTTATGGAGGACTAACAAGTTGCAAAAATTATTCTAGTAATTGCTTCCCTAATTAGTAGTATGATTTCTCGAGCTCAATGTAAAATGTGAGGGAGATAAAGATTAAACTTGTAAGGATCTTTCCTTGAATCATAGAATTGAGTAATGTAGTAGCAAATCCAGATTGTAGATGGTGATAAAAGGTGGCTTCAGAATGTAGTCTCCATCAAACTCATTGAAATAGTGATCTATATTATAACATTCATTTACCTATTGAGAACAACGTGGGAGTTCCTTGATTTAAAAAGTCGAACAAATTCGGGGATTAGATATTGCTAGATTTTAAATCATGTGATGGTTTCCCTTTTTAAGCATAATTATCCATGCATTTTGACTATCCAATCTTTTTAGTGTGGGCAACATAAGAGCAATTAGTTTATTTTCGTTGATTGAGCCAATTAGGAGGGATTTAGTGGAATAAAGAAGTTCAGGAGGCTTTTGTGAAAACCACCCTAAAAAGGAAGAGGGTTTTGTGATATTAAAAAAGGTAAGGGGGTTATCTGAAAATTGACCAAAATTAGGCAGGAGCCCATTAGGGTATTAAAAAAGTTAAGGGGTTATCTGATATTAACAAAAAGAATCCATGCTGTCACGCCCTGAGACCTAAACAGCTCATGATTAGGTTGGTAGCACACCACCTAGACAATAACAATATCCAAATTATATATTTAAGCCTCTTAACTGCATGTTTGTTCTTAAAATATCAATTTTCGAGAAATATTCTATAAAAAGTCATTTATCGAAGAATCTGTAAGCAAACGATTTAAGACAGAAATTCATTTCAAAAACTAAAAAAATCAGTTCAACATATACATGTATAACCATTGTTCTGGACTCAACCACTCTCTATTCTGAAGTACACGAACCTCCTAAAAATGATAAGCAAAACAACAAAACAACAAAGCAAATCCGTCAAAGCAGATAATAGCAAGAATCTGTCAAAGGATAGGATCCAAATGACGGAATAGTGAAAATATGAATCACTATACGAATAAAATCAAATGAAAGACTCTCAAAAATGATATATTCATCACGATCCAAGAATGAGAGAATCCAAAAGCTGAATATGAATACGAAAAGATAACATAACTGAGCAGATACTAGCCAAAAATAAATTCTTAATCTATACCAGAGTATCGACCCTCTATTTCACAAAATACAGATTTAAAGAAAATAAATGTCACATTACTCATCTCATACGTGTCATATAAGCATGCGCAAATCATATCACAATTACTAACATTCTTAAGTTAAATTTTTGTCATTTGAGATTAAATAATAATTAGGTCAGTTTAAGGTGGACAAAGATCACAACTCATAAATCCAACAGAATTCTAGCAAACTCATCAAAATGGCCAAACAAATCTCACACCTTAAAAAGTCAAATGATTATTTATTCTCCCCATTTAAAAATCCAACTTTTTCATATCAATTTATCTTAAAGCAATTACAATACTACACGGTGTTGTTTAATCTCAGCTTTTCTATATTGCACGACTAACTATTGAATTAGAAATTCAAAATACAAAAGCATGGAGGTTGCAAATCCCCACACTCATACTCTATTCATCATCCCTCAGTACTTAGCAAGAAGTATAAAATTTCTAAGAGTTAGAAAAATTAAACATATAATATCCACAAACCCGTAGGCAATAAGTTTGCACCTTTTGCGCCCACCACCATCTCAGTTAAAAGCTTATCACGTTGATTGAGGCAAATGTCGGATATTTAAACTCCTAATTTCTGTGGGTTACATGTGTAATCCAAAAGGATACGTGTATAATTCATTATAATTGACCTATTCTCTTAAGAATCATCATAGGATATTGCCCACATTATTAAAACATCAATATCAAGTTGGCTAATGATTCCAATTCGAGAATCATGTTTCATCAAAAATTTAGTTCAACTAGATAAGTATGAGAGGGAAAAAGTCTAAATTAGCAAATAAACACTTAAACGCATTCAAAACTCACTAACAGAAGTGTTTGCAAAGTTTCAAGTCATGGAAAAAAGTTACGGAGTCAAATGACTTATAAAACACAAAAATACAAGCTCTTTCCGGCACTTGAACTTTTAAACCAAACATCTGATTTATGCTCTAGACGTCCAACATTTTTGACTAGGTATTTGAATTTAAAACAATAGAGAACCAATTTTCAGAAAACAAATACAGAGACAGCTGACGTCTGATTTTTGAACCAGACGGCTAAATTTCACAATTAGACGTTTGAATTATAGATTTTGGCATAATTTAACAGATTTCAACCTAGGGTTTCACATATCTTTCTCATGCTATTCTCAAGGATAATTTTCTATGCCTTTTCAACATGAACTCACGAATCTGTCATGCATAGAAATTATATCATGGATCATGGTTTTGTAAAAATAAGATTTTTTTTCCCGATCTAGGGTATTAAACAACTTCCTGAAACTTCATAAAAATTCATATTTTTGTGATAAATGAACTATGATACATATCACCAGCACAAATAAAATTGATTTACTGATTTTCCATAGATTTCTAGAGTTTTAGGTCAAAATTATCATCCATACGTGAATGTTCTACCATTAAAATATCGATATGAATATGATCATATATCAAAAAAGAACATAGATTATCATGATGGATTGAGATTTAATATCAAGAATTTAAATGTATAAAAGAGTCAATGACAAAAAGATATCAAGTTAGTACTTTCTTAAAAGCATTGCCACTGAAAAAAGAAGATCACGAAGCTGACGAACAGTGTGCAAAAGCTCTCCTCTTCCTCCTCCTTGCTTGGGTAGCTCTATAGATGTCAGAGATCTAAAAAATTCTAATCTCTAGGCCTATCTAGACATTATATAAGGATTTGTGGCTTAACGGATTGACTAATGCTTTGCCTGCTTTTGACTTAGAACCCATTTAGGCTTTTTAACATATAAAACCTTGTAAGAACTCCTACTTAGCTAACTAGAACTCAGAGATACCTCAATGCTATTAGATAAAATAATCTATCTAATCTCTCATCATTCGAAAAATGATAATGGAAACTACTTTCCGGTTTCGACAACGCGATGTGTTACATGCCAATTCAATGAGTCAATTTTTCTAATATTTTTCTTTTTTTTTAAAAATTTTATGAAATAGTAGGATATTATAAATGAGGGAATTTGAAATATCTTTTTCAAGCTATCGAAGAAAAAGTTTGGCTCAGGTTGTCAAATTTTGAATTTTTTAATATAATTGAATCTACTTTTCATTTGACGTAATATGTTCAAAAAACTATGGGAAAATTTAAGATTTAATATCATATTCATTTGTATAAGCCATGTATTATAGCAAATGGTATAGCCACTATGCTTATATTCAAGAGAGATGGAGTATGTATCAAACATAGAAAAAGGAGCAACAGACTAGAGAAATCTTTTTCAGTGCGATTCAATTTAGAAGCATAAGCATAATCAAGGAATGACCCATAAAGACCAAACAATAAGATGTTCAACCAATGAAATAAAACTCACCCATGCAAGCACGAGCAAAATACATGTATTAGTGAAGATGAAAAAGAAAAGAAAAAGAGGGCACTATCTTTAATCATGCAATATTTGAAGCTAGAAAGGATTAGTATGACTGGGATTGACACTATATTTAAATTCAAGTTTGAGGTTAGTAATAGGTGCTATTTATTGAGTTGTAATTGATAATCGAGTAATTCTTATTTGATGCTGTAAAGTAAGCAACTTAATTATAGAAAGCCTACAGAAACCTACTCTTTAACCTGCCATATTGATCTTAGGTCAAAAAACATTTCAAACTATATTATATCTGATAATTTTTTTAGTATTTTGGATGTAATAAAAGAAAGGCAATAAATCTTTTTTTAAGTTACAAAACCTCGATAATCATTGTCAACCTCATGGGCATCCCTATCTAATGCCCTACATAAAATTTCAGTATGAGGTTAGAACATAACAAAATTCTTTCGCTCTCTTCAACATTCATTATCAGCTCTATCCGTCAGAACGTTGCCTTTTCTGTAAATATGACACTTTGACTAATGTGAATCCCTAGCATATCTCCAAGACATCACAGACTAGTATATGTCCATGATCACTAGAAGATTGCATGAACTGAATAACAAACATTGCACGCTACAAACAAAACTCAACCTTCTAATGACTTTGGGCTCTTCCCAAACTGCTCTAATCTATACAACAATAAATCCTGACATTTCATAACCTATATTTTACTCACAATGTATTATACATGCTACCGTCACAATAGAAATTGTTCTTCAATCCATAATCAAAGCCCAAACCCATGGGAATTTCTAATAATTTTTTTTTCCGCTCATTTAGAAAAACAGCCAAAAAAGGGGCAAATACAAATTAATCTTACTGTAAGAAGAAGAGAGAGAAGTAAAATCGTTACCCCATGTCGAGCGATCCAAGAGACGACGTTGATCGTCTTTTTGCCTGCTTCAAATGCGGGCTCTCAACGCCCGGTAAGCTTCGATATTCAAACTCTAATTTTCTATTGCTCATTGCTTATTTTCTTTAATTCTTTCTAATTTTTCCTTTTTTGTGGAAAATAAAGAATCTGCTCCGAAGAAAAGGAAAAGCCTTGTGAAGAAACCTAGGGCTAGCTCAGCAAATGGGGAATCATCTTCAGTCAACGGGGCAACTACGGCAAGTTGTTCTAAGCAAGAGGATCATCATTCACCGAAGAGTGAGAAGGTAAATTACACCTACAATTAAGATCTTATTTTTAGATAAATGTTGATCTCGAGCTGGTTGGTTCTTCTAAATTTGGAGCATTTCTCTCATCACCCCGTAACCTATAGGATGTAGTTCTTGGATCCACATAAATTTTAACTAATTAAACTCGTTAGTTTTAAGAAGGAAATTTCGGTACCATGGTCATCTTTCTTGTTTGCAAACCGGTAATGGGTAGATCCCTAAGTTACTTGATACGGTTCAATATATTATAGGAGCTATTTACATAGAGTTGGAATATTGTTTCTAGTCTTGATATCTAGGCAGCGTTTGGTTCACGATGAGAGTCCGTTTAGGACTTAGGTTAGGATTGGGATTAGGCGGTACTAGGATTAGAAGTCTTAGTTCCATGTTTGGTTACATGTTCAAAGACTTTGGGACTTTGATGCCCAAAATTTCAATCCCATGTTTGGTTCCTATAGTTGGGATTACAAATTCTAGTCTTCTATTATTTGTTCACCTTACAACCTTAGTTCTTAGTTTAGAGAATAAATTTTATATGTAACCCAATTATAAACGAGAAAACTATCAACAAAATTAATTGCGCTGCGAATATAATAAGAGGCTGGGCTTCATGGACCAAGACCTTAGCTGAATGCATCTAATTATAATATTAAAGACGATTACAGAGTAACTATCAAAAAACAATTAGCTATCTATTTTTCGATGAACAAAAATAGAAGCTAAAAATATCATATTACAATAACCAAATGTTTTACTGATGCAATAAGACCAAAAACTTAGCAACATTCCTTCAATTATATACATAACATGACTAGAAGAAAATATTTTATATGCTTCATATCCAAATTGAAATAGCCCAACATTCTCAAAGATGTTGTGCACAAATTAATCATTTACTTGTACCCCTCTATCTGCCATAAACTTTTCTTATTCTCTTGGCCTTCGAGGAAAGCAGCCAATGTTACATTAAACGCTGTGCGCTTCTAGACGTCGGACTTAGCGCCCAACGCTTAGTCGCCTAGGCGGGCGCCTAAGCGGTTTCTGGGCGTTTTTTTTTTCTTCATTTAAGTGGTTCATTTAAGTGGCGGTCGATGAGGTTTTGCTGAAGATCGGAGGAGGTAGTGAAGGTGTTCATATTTGGAGGTTAACGGAGTTTGGAGGACGTGTATGTTACGACACATAAAATCATAATCAAGACCTACAGGGTGCAATCTACGTAAGCAGGCAATGCTCACCTAAACGCTTGTAATATCTAGGTGGGCAGCCTAAATACCACCTAGGCGCTAGTTAGGCGGCCTAGGTACCGCCTAGGCCTAGGCGTACGCCTAAGCGGACTAGGCGGAGGTTTTTTAAAACAGTGAAAGCAGCTTTCATGGGAACCGTTGAAGATAGTGTCACAAACTAGTAAACAAGTGAAGTGAAAACATACAAGGCAAACTAATGTTCATGAAGTACTCAACAATAATTCTATCACCATATTCATCATCAATAATACTATGCCTTGCATGTAGCAAACACAACATCAAGAGCTCAATCATCACTAAGACAACATCCTATCTAGATATAAATCTAAACTGCATCCAAACCAAATATAAATCCAACAAACAACATTATTCTATGATTTGTCTTTAGATTTCTCCTTAGGACTGCTTCTTAGATTTGAATGCTACAATAAGTGCAAATATCGTTAGAACGAGGACACACAAGATGTATACCTTTTAGTACATGAGATGCATCCACTGAGAAAACACATACTCAAAGCATTGGAAACTGCTGACAAGAAGTCTAATAGTTGAACATACAATATCGGAGAGCGTCGCCATAAATAAATTTAAAAGTAAGGTACATTGAATGTCTCTGCAACCACGATTATTGTTAGGAAACCTACAATAAAACCAAGAAATATTGTTAAAGAAGTAGACCTCATAATAGCCTTCTTATTTTCATCTTATTTCTTATCCTCCATCTTCTTCAACAGCTGTTCATCCAACCTATCAACTTCACTCTTACTGTTTTCATTCTCTTCAGGCTTGTTCTTTTGCTTTGACTTCTCTTCATCCTCAATCTTCTTAATACATCGTCAAGCATGTCTGCCCCTTTCTTAGCCTCAGTCTCTATCTTCTTCAACAAGTCATCAAGTTGTTCAGTCTCACTCTTAGATGGCAATCTTCTCAGTCATGTTCTTATAACTTTCAGTGTTATTCTCAGACTTCTTCATCTCCATCTTTGACATTCTAGTTGTATGCTTTCTCTGTGATAGTATTGATTGTTTTACAACTCTTACCATTATAATTGTATGACTTTTCTCCTCCTAACGGTAGTCACAAATGAACGGTTTGCATCAAACTCTTTAACGCTAGTATTCTTAATTATCAAAGTGTTTGACTTGTTTTTTGTGCTAGACTTGCTTTTTCTTTTCCCTCTTTTTGCATATGGATTGTTGGTTCTTTTTCTTTGCTCCTAGGCATATTACCTATTTTCTCGTCCCTAGGAGGTGTATGTACCAAAAGAAAGCTCAAATTTGAAAATAAAATTGGTTTGAGGGGATCTTACCTACTTCCTAGCCCAATTGGCGCCCTAAAAGTCTAGAGTTTGGTAGTTGTATCAAAGGGAAAGTAATTTTCAAGTGCCCTAGTGTCTCCCTACAACAAGTGAACAAGATCATTTACTCTTTTGGAATCTTATGATAAGAAGACGTACATGACAAACCTCTTAGTATCATTATCGATCTTTTTAAATGATAACTTCAACACCTGAAAAAACTCAAAATTTTGAATTAGCTGTGGGCGAGAGCTCGTTATGAAAGGAACTGTGGCAACTTTACTATTGTCCAATAAGAATGTGGTAGAATCTCTATCTTCAGGATGGAGAGCTAGCTTCTTGTCGCATACTCCATCAAACTTAATCAAGTTGTAGCCTACAATCTCAGTGTCTTGTTGAACTAAAGACTTTGCAATCAATTCGATCGGCATGTTCTGGGTGAACTTCGTTCTCATACAAAGAGTTGCTTCCCTTATTGGCTTTGAGGGCTATTAAGCAATGGCAAAATAAGATAAGTTGAACTAATAATTTATCCATTAATGAAGTCAGATAATAGATGTTAAATGGAGCAAACTAAGTTGGTCTGGACATAACTTTGAATAGGGGGCTTAGTCGTCAAGTGAATGATTTAGTGTCTGGATCACTTTCTAAGCTTAGTTACCAATGTTCACTTTCTAAATTTTTGTGTCAGGTCATTGAAGAGATCAAGGTTAGATTTCAAAACATATCACCATAAAGATGATGATTCTACCACGTTCTTTTTAGATAATGATAAAATCGTCATAGTTCCTTTCATGATGAGTTCTCGCCTACAACTATTTTGAAAATGAGTCTTTCTAGGTGTTAAAGTTGCTATTTAAAAAGATCAAGAATGGCACTAGGAGGTTTGCAATATACATCTTCTTACCGTATGATTCCGAGATCTTGTTCACTTGTTGGAGGGAGACATTGGTTCACTTAAAGATTACTTCTTGGTTGATACATCTTCCAAACTCTGGAGTTTTAGGGTGCATATTGGGCTAGAAATAACTGCACGAATAGCGATGACCTTCGTTTGGCCGTTATAGCTAAACGTTGCCTATAAAGATCCTCTTTAGTAAGGTTTTAAATATCGGTTATCGGGGATTTATCGGACGATCAAAATTCATATCGGATAGCGGATATCATGGATATATCGGGGATAAGTAATATTTATCAAAGTGATATTACCAGATGGTGTATATACATAATATAATATCCTAAAATATAATCTAACCATACTTAATAAAATATAAACATACCAAAATATAAATAATCATGTTTAGGATCATTAAGCAATGGTAGAACATTGCTTCTTGATCGCACGATGAAACCATTCGGTTGCATAGTTACTAAAAAGGGAATAACATACAAGCAAATAATAAGATAACATAAAGAATAAAGAATCATCAACATAATTATTTTGTAATCACGAGATTATAAACTAACTTACTAAGTTGTGATTTAATAGTTATGAGCTATGTCAATCTTCATAAACAAACATAAGCTAATCTCCAATCAACAAAGTTCCAAAAACAACAAATAGTTAATAATTTTTAAACATCTAAAGAGTAAACCAAAACCCAAGCCCAAACCAAAGGCCGATAATTCTGATATTTTGAGCCAACATTATCGGCCGATAACTCACTTTATCGCCGCATTATTGCCGATAAACATCCAAAAATGATAACCGATTTAAAATTAAACTTAAGCGGAAGACCCCCAAAACCGATAATCACCGATAATATCGGTTTATCGGCCGATATTTAAAATACTGCTCTTTAGCCAATTTTATTTTCAAATTTGAGCTTCCTTTCAGTACATACACCTCCCTAAAATGAAGAAAGATGTAATATGTCTAGGAGCAAAGGAATTGGCAATCCACATGCAAGAAGAGGGAAAAGTCAAAGAAAGTCTGGTACAAGAAATAAGTCAAACACTTTGATAATTAAGGATACTAGCATTAAAGAGGAGTCTGATGCAAACCATCCATTTGTAATTGCTATAAGGGAGGAGAACAATCGTATAATTATAATGGTAGGAGATGTAAAATAACCAATACTATCGCAAAAAAGATATATAACAAGAATGTCCGAGATGGAGAAGAAAAAGTCTGATAACAACACTGAAAAGCAAAAGAACGTGACTGAGGGGATTATCATCTCTTAGAGTGAGGTTAAACAACTTGATGACTTGTTGAAGAAGATAGAGGCTGAGACTAAGAGTAAGGTAGACATGCTTGACAATGAATTGAAGAAGATTGTGGATGATGAGAAGCAAAAGAACAAGCTTGAAGAGAATGAAAATAGCAGAAGTGAAGCTAATAGGCTAGCTGAACAGTTGTTGAAGAAGATGGAGGACAAGAAACAAGATGAAGATAAGAGGGCCACTATAAGGTCTACCTCTTTAACATCATTTCTCGATATTATCGCAGGTTTCTTAGTAATAGTCGTGGTTGTAGAGACATTCAAGATACCTCACATTGTTAACTTATTTATGATGACTCTCTCCGGTATTGTGTATTCAACTATTGGACTTCTTCTTAGCAGTTTTAAATTCTTTGACTGTGTTTTCTTGGTGGACGCATCTCATATACTGGAATGCATATGCCTTGTGTGTTCTCGTTCTGATGATATTTGCACTTATTATAGCATTAAAACCTGGAAAGCAATCGTAAGGAGAAATTTGAGGACAAATCATAGAATATATTATTGTTGGATTTATATTTGGCTAGGATGTGATTTGGATTTATATGTAGGTAAGATTTTGTCTTAGTGGTGATTGAGCTCTTGCTGTTGTGTTTGCTACAGGCAAGACATAGTATTATTGGTAATGAACATGGGGATATTTTGCTAATTTTAATAGAATATAGAATTATTGGTGAGTTCTTCATGGATATTGGTTTATTTTCGTATGTTTTAACTTTATGGTGATATATTTTGCTATCTTTCCCTTTTTTTTTGGGGGTGGGAAAATAAAGAACCTGTCTCAAAGAAAAGGAAAAGTCTTGTGAAAAAACCAAGGGCTAGACTAACAAATGGGGCGTCATATTCAGTCAACAAGGCAACCGTGGCAAGCTGTTCTAAGCAAAAGGCTCAGGATTCACCAAAGAGTGAGAAGGTAAATTACACCTCTACGATTTAGATTTTATTTTTAAATAAATGTTGATATCGGGCTGGTTGGCTCTTTTAAAATTGGAGCATTTGGCTCATCACTGTGTAACCTATAGGATGTAGTTTTTGGATCCACATGTGAAATTTTAATTGATTAAGCCGGTTTGTTTTTAGAAGGAAATTTATTATCTTTCCCATTTGGCTGTTGGTAATAGGTCAATCCCTAAGTCAGTCAATACAGTTCAATATGTTATGGGAACTATTTACATAGAGTCAAGATATTGTTTTTAGTTTTGATATTTAGAGAATTTGTCAAATCATGGTTACGAAAAAGTTGCACAGGCTCAGACTCAGAATATTGCTTATATCTATATATATATATAGATATATATAGATATATATAAAGAGTCAATGTTACTATAAACGTTGGTTTGACCCTCATCAATTTATAATCTATTATCCTTGAGTGAATATAATAACTTTCGAAGTGTACATTGTGAATTTATCTGCTGTCACCATACTATTTTCTTATGTTCTAATCCCCTTCATTTCGAAGTACTTGGATTTCAGCTATCACATGTTATTCTCTTATGGACATCATTAATTGTTATAAATATCTGATGCCTTAACCCTATGTCATAGTATCAAAGCTTCTTGTAACGGCTGTATGTTGGTACAATAAGTTGTATCCATATGTAGAACATGTAGGATTTGGGTCATTGATATACACTCGGTAATTTCGGAAGTAGACATATCTCATTATGTGGCGCAAGTGACAAGTAGTCTTTACATCATCCAATTTCGGTGTGGATCCATTGACATACCTAGGGGTGCAAAACGGGCGAAATATATCCTATTTGATCCGCAAATGTATCCAAAATGGATATGGATATGGTAGCCATAAGTTGAAACTAGTCAGATACGGATATCATTTCGGGTACGGTTTTGGATTTTTGGTCAGATGTAGTTTTAGATATGGATATCGGCTTAAATTCCGGATACGGTTTGGATTTTCGAGTTCAGATACGGATTCAGATAAGTACTCGGATATGGATTTGGATATGAACTTGAATATGGATTTGGTACAATTACAAATATGAATATTACTTTATCTTCAATTATCTTGATAACATATGCATGCGCTTTGAGATTTGGTCATATGTTTTTAGTTTATTGGATTATGCTTTTATTGAGGTAATCAATTGTACATTTTAGACTTATTTATATTATACTATAATTCAATTTTTTTTATCAATGGATATAAAAGATGAAAAATTTGCAGCACTTTGTGTTTGAATTATTGTCTTCTACTTAGGTTTGTGAGGTTTACTTAGGTTAGTGTAGTTGAAATTTCATGAGGTTTTACTATCTGAAAGAACTTTTTTTAACTGAAACTTTTGCTGGTCAATTAACATGATATTTTTTGTCATATCCGATTCATATCCGAGTCATACTGTGTCCTATATAAGCGATTTGTGTCTGTTTTTCACTTCTCTATATCTTAACTGTATCCATTTCCATTTAATGTGGATATGGTTATGATTTGTTCTTACCGACCTAATCCTTTATAGATAGCGGATATGGATATGGTAAGTGTCATCAGAACAGTATCTGAACCAAATGCATCCCTAGACATACCTGCTGAATTAAATAACCCTAAGTAATCAAGACTTAAGAAAAGTTTTAGAAAATGATTATATTATGTTAACTGGCCAGAAACAAATTATATTTGAACCCACTGTTGGGGGCTTTGCATTCACATGCTCAAACCACTATGTTAATTTGTAAGAGATGATAGTAAATAGTTTTATCTATTGAGACAAAGTGAACATTTTCAAAATCCTTGGGAGAAGGTCTTATTATCTTTCTGTTTGCTGACAATTACTGTTTAGTTCTTTCTAATTCAATAACTAGTGGTGACTGCTTTTCAGCAGATACGAATATGTTAGCGGCGCACACAGCCACTTGGATGTAGGAACATGAATGACAAAAGCTTATGCACTGAACACTGGAGGGAATCAGCAGTATTAATAATATATATTAATTCAGGTTCGGCAAAGATCTCAAACCAATCAAAGTGATGCTTTGAATGAAAGAACTTTGGAATAGGTTGTCTATGAAGGAAAGAAAATGTAACTGGTCAACTATGAAGTATGAATAGCATGGGGAGTTTGTTCCTGGCTTAGGGTAGCGTTAGGTATCAATATCATTCATAATTGGGTACTTCTGGTAAATGGTTATGACCTAAAGCCAATCTAGTTGTTAAACAGGTCAATCAAATCAGTCTGATTGCAACTAATATCTTTTATGCTCTAGCCTAGCCCACTAACTTTGGGTCTGGTTCAATGGGTTAATGTACCGCATTCTCTATTAGAGAATTTTAGTCCGATGTTTTTCTAGTGCATGGTTACAGTATTACAATTGGTTATAAAATCAATACGTTCTCCTTTGCCATGAGATTGGCAGTCGGTACTCCTATTTAATTTCTCCAGTTCAACATGTGCTACTTCAGAAGAATGTTGCTGTTTTATTTTTCTTCATTTTTGTATGTTCGGGTGAGTGCTGGGTGGGCAGTGGTGGGGGTGAATGGTTTGCAGGATGGGATTGGTTTCTTTGATTCAACACGTTAAATAAGGAAACATATTAGCCAAAGCTAGTGTTTTCGACTTTTATTTAAGATTGTTCAGTCTGTAAGCACTTGATTCCGAAAAACTGTACATAACTGTGTATAGTTATTTGTTTTTCCTTTTCAGCTTGGTGGATCAATTTCTGCAGCAATCAAGTTCAGAAATGGCAAACATATATCTCCAATTGTATTTTATGGTTCACCACATGGTGCACCTGTTAAGAAACCATCACAATTATTGCGATTGTTGCATGAAATTCGTGGTGATCTCAGAGAACAGAATAAATTGATTCCAAGGTATCAAGCATTACAAATTCTTTGTGCGCGTAACTCCACTTGTTAATTCGACCCTTTTTTCCTTGTCTATATAGGGAGGAGGTTTGGGCTACTTTTCCAAGACAAGAAGAGGCTGTGAAATTTGCTAAAACACATACACAGACTTATGTTTTTAGCTATCAAGACCATTTGACTGGGCAAAGAAGGTTCCTTGTATCTACGTATGATGAGTTCTGGAGAAGGTTGAAGTTCCCTTAGTTAATTGATATATTGAAGTTGTTTTTTGTTTTGTCTTCTTATCAATATCCCGTCATTCTTCTTCTGTTTGTTCATTTTCAGTCACAAAAAAATGTTCATGTTCCACAAATACTCTCAAGTACCTCATTTGCGGTGCTATTCTCAGATTATTGTTTCTCTTTCAGGTACAAAAATATGGATCCCAGACAGCGCCACCATTATGAAGTTATTCAAGAGGTAATGAGTTTCCTTATTACAATTATTTTTGAAAATATGTGGTTAGGAGAAATAGTTGAGTATTTTCACTAGAATGAATTTTCTTTATTACAGAAACCTCAAAGGACTTTGTCGATTCATAAATCAGTACTTAATTGTACAGTTGAGCTTGAGAATTTCAGGGAGGGAGGGTGGGTGATTTATTTATTTATTTATTTATTTTGTGGGGTGGGGAGTGGCGTGGGGGGTATATTGGCTTGCATGAAAGGAAGAAACAAGAAAGTCTTGCAGTGGAGCTTCATCCAGTATTTATTCTTCTCTTATAACTGACTGTACCTGAACCTCTGTATTTCAAGTATCTTGATGTTTTTTATTCTCTTTACATGAGATGACGGATCACTGGCACACATTATTGGATAATAATGACATGAAGCATACAACTTACTATTCTTTACATAAGAATGTAACAAATTGCCTGGCGATCTGAATATTTGTCATCCTGCAGCCACATGGACTTTTTTGGCAGGATCCTTGTAGTTTAGAGCATAGCTCGCAGATATATATCTTGGCATAACTACCATGATGATATGGTCCATTTAACTCCTTAAGTTCAGATAAAGTTAAAATTTCCCACTTATTTTTCTTATTTCCAGCTGAAATTGGTCTAGGTCTCCTTATTCAAACTTCTTTTACTGATGCAACACGGGCTGATAGGTTTAAGTACAGCTGATTCCAACTCATCGAATGTTTGCACTTTATGAGCATTTCTTACGTGCCAGCTAACACACAATGATTTTCCTATTTTCTGACTGCTGGAAGTTCCTCATTTTTACTATATACCAAATAAACTTCTGTAAGTGTGTTACCATAAAATGATTTTGAATGTCTGAAGGAATGAAAGTTCCATCATTTGCACTACCAGCAGCTATTAGTTCCAGCTAATTACTTCACTGCATCTTTTTCCAATAAACTTAACTATTGACACAACCATACACGACTCTATTCCAACAATGAATTTATTGCCTAAAGGTTTGGTCTTTCAAATGGACACAAAATTTTTAGTGAACTTCAATTGTCTCTATAAAATTTGGCTTTGGTATGTGTTCAAAGAATGACTTGTTTCAGCCGCTGCTGCTTATTTGCAGTTTATAAGAGTGGGGTCAGCTACATTATTTCTACTATCTTGTAAGACAATGTAAATTCTATTGAAGGTTGGCAGTACCTGACTATTCTCTTGACCGTCAGAAAAAAAAAGCATATTCTGTTGTTAAAGCAAATTGTTATGTACTGCTAAGTCTCAAAATATCGATTGAGGCAAGGTTGGAGATCTGTCATCTGTGATTCTAGGTGGAGTTCTTATTAGTTAAATGAAATTGTACCTTTCTGCGTTTGACTTAGAAAACTCAAGCAGTAAGATCACTTCTTTTACTTTAAAACCCTTCTCCTCTATTTCTAAATCTGAATACCTCAAACCCCTTGACTCTGTTAGTGAGTAAATGGGCCTGTCAGATGTCTCCCACCATTCAAAGAGTTGTAAACAAACTATGGAAAGCACAAAAAAGAAAATGATTGAAGGTGAAGGCTCCACCATTCAAAAAATTGTAAATAAACTATGGAAAGCATAAAAAAGGAAATGATTGAAGGTGAAGGCTTCAATTTCTCTCCCAAGATTGTGATTGTTGTCCTATTTTGATGAAATATTTCATCGCATATCCTTCTTAAGTGATTTGTTTGTCCATCCAATTTGAAGCCTCCTCATATGTCAAAAGAGTCAAGACTCCTCCAAATTGTAAGCAATGCCAATATAAATAGACACATGAATTCTGTCAGTTAAATCCAATAGTTGAACCATTTTCATCTTTGCAGTGAACTCACAAATCAGAATATGCATGAGCTATATACTGAACTGCAATAAAAGTTTATTTATTTATTTATTTTTGTTGAAAAAGTTGTCCAATGCTAATTTGCTTGTTTACAGATGTCCATTATAATCACGTATATCCAATCTCTAAGAAGATATTAAAAAGTTATGAACTTCACAGTTTTTTCAGTCGGGTTTGTGATGACCCCTGAGACAGTTTCTTTTATAGTGGTTTTGATTTCCTGTTAATTCTTTCCCTTTTCCATCTTAAGGTTGTTTCTTAGTTTCAAATTTAGAATTAACAATTTTCAGGGTTTGCCGTGCCACTTGTATTTTGATCTAGAATTCAGTAAGAAAGTCAACTCCAGCAGCAATGTAGATGAGATGGTAGATATCTTAATATCTGTCACCTTAAAAGCCCTATACGACAAATATTTTATTGAAGGAAATGAAGATTGGGTATTAGAGCTTGATTCATCTACTGAAGGTATGTGTTTATACTTTGTTTGACCAAATGCTGAGCTCAATTTAGACCTCTTTTATGGCATCAAATTGGCACATAAGTTTTTGTGAAGTTAGCACTTTAAAATTAGGGTTTGATATTGCTTTTGTTCATCTATCATGCTTTATTATGCATACTATTCAACTGTTCAAATGCTTAGGTATATTGATAATCTTACGACACTTTTTAGACGTTTAGGCTACCAGTCCATTGTCAACCAGCGCAGAGTTTCTTATGAGAGCTAATTTCTTAAAATTTCACTGTCAATGCATTATCGAGATGCTTCATTCTTCCATTTCTCTTTCACTCACTATTTTCTGAACAAACCTTAACAATCTCATGAAAATATTAATGTATCCCAGTTTATGATCAATCAAATATGTTTTGACAATTCATAATCTAGCCTTGATAGGAAACCCATCGCTGACTATTACCAACTTTGCTGTCAACTGCAATTCCTGTTCAACTAAGTATGTGAGCTTGTGTGTATCCTTGTTGTTTATTCTAAATGTTTTAAATAAACTTCACTTTGGATCAAGCACTCAATAAATTTGCTTACCTTTTCTTTAAAGGTTTTATTCTTTTATAAATTTTTTTCTTATTTTATTTTTAGCACCCTATTTTCCTACCTTAACCTTTCTGAGCTTCTTATGTTTTGCCTAAAAGTATTGACTTGTGCTATGCGAAATGTATTTTTTATTTGCTTTGGAAAATTGTAGGCAGTGTTTGAAGGTTTTCTCGTTATGATTAATCTTCACTTGTTTAGATGGACTTTCTGTGAAGTTTATGACACAAGATGACATATAACTGATTTTCATTTTTATCTCATAAGCAGTTTGTCATAATAATTCTTTTGTTTGATAGAAAAGTTTTCACGTCATTTGGTTATCCATGTACCGAAGACTGCCTTTAAGGACAACTCACATGTGGGGGCATTTGTTTCTGAGGTATGCAATTCTTCAGCCAATCATATGTAACTTATCTTTTGTTTACTTAATATCAATTATGTACTGTTAGCTATTGTTGAGATTTGAGAACACTCGGACAGAACAGATAGAAAGGAGTTGGATTTGGGCTGAGGCTGAGAAGAGTATTTCCAAAACTAGGTTTTCGTCATTTGAATGTATATCAACATCTGTGATCCATGCCCCTGTCTATAGATAAAGCTTCTAGGTTTTCTCGTTACTAACATCACATTAGATTAGCCTTACTCTGGGCCCTCTGTGTGAATCAACATTCTTTTACTTTCTCCACGTTGCTGAATATGATTATCCCGCTATTCTTTACAGATACAGATTTGAGTATTGTGTTGACACAGACATGAAGTATCTGACTTGCAATTGTCAAAAGTGTGTGTATATGAGAATATTGGGTATGCTTGGTACCAAGCACAAAATTGGTGCTTGGTAGTGATGTGACCACTTTTCATATACTCATTTAATTAGTGGGTAATCAAACAAAGACCATTTTTTAAATGTGGACCTTTAAATATGCGGATGCCATATAAATATCCACATATTTAAAGGTGCACATTTAAAAATGGTCCCCACTTGGTTACCCGCCGATTAAATGAGTGGATGATAAGTGATCATATCACTACCAAGCACCAATTTGTGCTTGGCACAAAGCGTGCCCATTTTGTGTGTGTGCGTGTGTATACACACACATACGTACGTACATACATACATGATCGGTGCTCAACGATATATGAGTGAGATTAGTTGGATGTAAAGTACATCCACATGTGACATATTTCTCTTTGTACTTTATAACCTTAGATGTGGAGTTGAGATGCATCCACCTTACTATCAAACACTAAGATTGTGCTTGGTGCCAAACATACTCATTTTTCTCATATACACACATATAGGGATCGATGGTTATGAGGTGACGACTGATAGCAATGAGCTATCAACAGATATATATATAGATGAGACTCACACCTTTTGATATGACTAGCAAGGTGGATCACACCACATGGCTATCTCTTGGTAGCACATTTAGCAAAATGAGTCATCACCTCATACATATTATTTCCATATATCACCATGTGGTGAGACCCATCTTACTTGCCACATCAAAAGGTGTGGACCTCACCATTCTTATCTCTTGATAGTTCATTTAGCAAAATGAGCTACCACCTCATACCTATCATTCCATATATATATATATATATATATATATATATATATATATATATATATATAT